AGCTCACTGCAGCCTCAAACTAATGGGCTCAAGAGATCCTCTTGTCTCGGGTTCCCAAGTACCTCAGACCACAGGCATATGCCATCATGCCTGGCTATTTTTTTTTTTAATTATTTTTTATAGAGATGGGGTCTTGCTGTGTTGCCCAGGCTGGACTCTAACTCTTGGCCTCAAGCACTCCACCTGCCTCGGCCTCCCAAAGTGCTGGGATTATAGGCATGAACTGCTGTGCCTGGCCCCAAGAGACGTTTTTTCACCTTACCAAAGTCACCAGCTGATGGGAGGTGGGGGTGAGGGTAGCGGTGGCTTTGAGGACTCTGCAGTCACCACGATGCACTCCTTCCATCTCACTTTCATCAGGCTCCTAAAGCCGCACCCTAAGCCATGCCAGGTTTCCTGCTATTTCTCAGGCTGGCCCGACACCATCACGACTCCACATGTGTGTCCAGGTCTGGCTCCAGGTTCTCCTTCCAGGGCTCTCTCCCTGCTTCTTTTGAACTCCTCCTCATACAAGAGGCTCCAGATGACTGCTGCCTCAGACGCCAGGCCTGATGTCCTGCCAGAATACAAGCTTCAAGCACTGAATTATGGCTTCAGGGGCCGGCTCCTGATCCTCACCCTCAGAACCTAGTTCTGAATGAGTGAGCATGTGAGTGGTTCTATTTTTTTTTTTTTTTTGCATATACACAGGGTCTTGCTATGTTGCCCAGGCTGGTCTCAAACTCCTGGCCTCAGGTGTTCCTCCACAGCCTCCCAAAGTGCTGGGATGATCGACTTTTTATAACCTCAAGCTTAGCTCAGCTCCAACAGAGCAGGCAGCCAAGGGATGTTGGTTGAATAAATGAACAAACCAAGTAATGTTTTTATACCTCACAAATACTGGTCAACAGTATTACCTTTCAAAAATCATTGATTATATCATAATCTCAAAAATTTAGGTCACTGATTAGATTACAAACACATAATTTTGATTGTAACCTAAAATTTATCATTTTAACCATTTTGTAAGTGTGCAATTCAGTGACATTAATGATATTCACATTATTGGCCAGGCGCAGTGGCTCACACTTATAATCCAGCACTTTAGGAGACCAAGACTGGCAGATCCCTGAGGCCAGGCATTAGAGACCAGCCTGGCCAACACGGCAAAATCCCATCTCTACTCCAACACAAAAATTAGCTGGGCATGGTGGCATGCACCTGTAATCCAAGCTACTCGGGAGGCTGAGGCAGGAAAATCACTTGAACCCGAGAGGCAGAGGTTGCAGTGAGCCGAGATCGCACCACTGCACTCTAGCCTGGGCGACAGAGCAAGACCCTGTCTCAAAAAAAAAAAAAAAAAAAAAGATAAGAAAAAGGATATTCACATTGGTGTGCAGCCATCACCACCATCTATCTTCAAATATTTTCATCTTAAACTGAACCTTTGTTCCCAGTAAACCCTAACTCCTCACCCCTTCCCTCCATTCCCTGACACATCATTCCATTTTCTGTCTCCATAGGTGACTCTTCTGGGTCCCTCCTGTAAGTGGAATTACACAACACTGTCCTTTTGTGTCTGGCTTATTTCACTTAGCACAGTGTCCTCAAGGTTTATTCATCGTACAGCCTGTCTCGGAATTCTGTAATTTTTAAGATACTCACTGGATCAACTAAAAATGCTGATGAGCTCCTGCTGCAGGCAGGGTCTGTCCTCACTACTCCAACTAAAAAAGCAAATGACAGAGTCTCTGCTCGAAGGTGTCCGCCAAACAACGTCACTTTTGATTTTTCTTTTCTTTTCTTTTTTTTTTTTTTTTTTTTTGAGACTTCTGGAATCTGTCTGTCTTCTGCAATTAATAGGTTGACCTGGAGAGACAGTCTACAGTCTACAGGCTAGTGTGGGAAGCCATTTTCAAAGGTGAAGAGGAAGGCAGATAGGCCAGGTATATTGGCTGCCTCTCATCTAGTAGCATGGGACCCCTTAAAAGTGACATTGGCCAGGTGCAGTGGCTCACGCCTGTAATTCCAGCACTTTGGGAGGCCAAGGCAGAAGAATTGCTTGAGCCCAGGAGTAAAGACCAGTCTATAGTGAGACATAGTGAGACCCCATCTCTACAAAAAATGTATATATATAAATTAGCCAGGTGTGGTGGTGGGCGCCTGTAGTCCCAGCTGCACAGGAGGCTGAGGCAGGAGAATCTTTTGACCCTGGGAGGCAGAGGTTAGAGTGAGCCGACATCACGCCACTGCACTGTAGCCTAGATGACAGAGAAAGACTCCATCTCAAAAA